CTTCTTCATCCGCATACTGGCCATTCTCATCCACCTCCACCTCAAAAAGCACTGGCACCGCATCACATCGGAAGCCTGCGACGCCCTCGTTTAGCCAATAGCGCAGCACGCGCTTCATCTGAGCCACCACATCCGGATTGCGATAGTTGAGATCTGCCTGCTGCACCGCAAACTGATGGAGATAGTACTGCTGGCGCTCCTCGACCCACTGCCAGGCACTGCCTCTGAATCCCTGCAGCCAGTTGGAAGGAGGCTCCCGCTCTCCAGTTTCTGCGTTGACCTTCCCGTCGTGCCACACATAGTAGTCCTCGTAGCCCTTCTCCCGCTTCACAGACTTCTTAAACCATTCGTTCTCATCACTCGAGTGGTTCGGCACAAAGTCCAGGATAATCTTCAAATCCAGCTCGTTGGCTTTCTTGATAAGCGTTCGAAAATCCTCCATTGTGCCATACTCCGGCTGTATGTCATAGAAGTCGGAGATATCGTAGCCAAAGTCCACCATGGGAGACTTGAAGATGGGCGATAGCCACGCAGCTGTCACGCCCAAGTCCTTAAGATACTCCAACTTGCTAGTAATGCCATTCAGATCGCCGATGCCATCGCCATCGGAGTCCATGAAGGAGCGTGGATAGATTTGATAGAACTGCGCTGTTTGCCACCAGTCCTTCGAGTTGCTTTCTGTTGTTGTTGTGTCCTGGCACGTCTGGCCAAGAAGCACCAGGCAGAGCAGGGGAATAAGCACTTGCAAAGGTTGCATTTTAATCACTTGTCCGGTAGACGGTCAGAGCCGTGCTTTTTATACAATCGGCCAGCTATAAGCTTACGCTGACCAGCTCAACTGGGCTTAAATGATAAAACACGCCTCAAGTAGCCAAGGAATTTGCCAAGCACTTAAGCGGTAAAGTTTGAGAGTCAAGTACACACTAAAAAAGGTTGCGACAAGTGGGTGCAAAAAAAAAACTAATCTCAAATATTCTTGAAACGGTTAAGTGCGAATTTTTCGTGGAGGTTTAGGAGGTTCAGTTTTTTAGACCTAAGGTAGAAGCCAACATACCCTTTCCCAATTGCTGCCCTATACTAGTTTTCTTTCGGTTTTCTTTGACTTCAAATAAAAGTTCTCCTCTTTTGCATTATATTTATTTAAATTTATAATTCTCTCATACAGTCATTTTTGCAAGGCTAGTCCCTATCGAATTTTAGTAGAATGTCTGATTGTGTATACCCTTCTTCATTTAGTTATACCTTATTTGAACTTGCTTAGGCTGCGGACATTGGCAATTTCCACTGTTGAAAGCTTATCAGTATTCTGACTTCCAGCTCGTTGGGTATATAAGAGCCCCTGACCAGCTATACAGCTGTACAAAATGATTTCAAAGAACACGTTTGCCTGGCTGAGTCTTGTTATTTTGGCTGCCGTTGGGCAGGCATGCCAGGACACATCAGCCACGGTAAGCACAAAGGACTGGTGGCAAACAGCACAATTCTATCAAATCTATCCACGCTCCTTCATGGACTCTGATGGCGATGGCATCGGCGATCTGAATGGCATTACTAGCAAACTGGAGTACCTTAAGGACTTGGGCGTGACAGCTGCGTGGCTATCGCCCATCTTCAAGTCTCCCATGGTGGACTTTGGCTACGATATCTCCGACTTCTTTGACATTCAGCCGGAGTATGGCACATTGGAGGATTTCCGTGCGCTTATAAAGAAGGCCAACGAGCTGGATCTGAAGATTATTCTGGACTTTGTGCCGAACCACTCGAGTGATGAGAACGAATGGTTTAAAAAGTCTGTGAAGCGGGACAAGGGCTATGAGAACTACTATGTGTGGCACGACGGGAAGATCAATGCAGAAACTGGAGAGCGGGAGCCCCCCACGAATTGGTTGCAATACTTTCGGGGAAGTGCCTGGCAGTGGGTCGAGGAGCGTCAACAGTACTACCTGCACCAGTTTGCGGTGCAGCAGCCGGATTTGAACTATCGCAATCCGGATGTGGTGGCTCAGATGAAGCGCGTGCTGCGCTATTGGCTGAACGAAGGCGTCGCTGGCTTTCGATGTGATGCGCTGCCACCACTGTTTGAAGTGCGCCCTGATGAGCAGGGTCAGTTTCCCGATGAGGTGGTGAGTGGTGCCACGGAGGACACGGAAGATCGCGATTATTTGACGACGACGTACATTGAGAACCAGCCAGAGACCATTGACATGGTGTATCAGTGGCGCGAGGTGCTCGATGATTATCAGCGGATTCACGGCGGCAACTCGAGTGTGCTGCTGATTGAGACATACTCCCCAGCCTGGTTCACCATGCAGTTTTATGGCAACCGGTCGGTAGATGGCGCTCACCTGCCCTTTAATTTCAACTTGATAACTGTGATGGAAGAGAGCGGATTGAGTGGCAGCAACGTGCAGAAGGCCATTGATCTGTGGCTGCAGAACATGCCCGCCGGACGCACAGCCAACTGGGTGGTGAGTGGTGCAGAATGTTCTGGAGCTTGTTGAGATCAATATTGAAACAGCTGCTGCTTTTTAGCTGGGCAATCACGACAAGCGCAGGGCGGCCAGTCGATATGGTAAGGAGCACATTGATGCTATGAACATGCTGGTCATGATTTTGCCTGGCGCCAGTGTCACGTATCAAGGCGAGGAGCTGGGTATGACTGATGGCCAAATCAGCTGGGAGGACACTGTTGATCCCTGGGGCTGCAATTCCAATCCAGAAATTTACGAGAAATACACCAGAGATCCCGCACGCACGCCCTTCCAATGGACAAACGGCACAAATGCTGGCTTCTCAACTGGCTCGAAGACTTGGCTGCCTCTAGCTGCCGACTATGAGGCTATCAATGTGGCCACGGAATCCGAAACGGAGCACTCCCATTTAAAAATATACAAGTCGCTGGTGGCGCTGCGCCGCAGCCTGAAAACGCTGCAAAATGGTGCCACCAAATACGCGGCGATTACTGAGGATGTTTTCGCCCTGAAGCGGTGGGTTGGCGTTGAAAATCCCCTTTAAAATGAAAATGTCAGTTTATTGGACACACTTGTACCAACTTTCTTTCGTATCTTTAGTTCACTTTCTGGAGCTGCCAGCATTGTGTACGTGTCCAACTTTGGCACGGCAGATGTCTCAATCAATCTGGAAGAGTTCGACAAGTCCTTGCCGGCCAGCTTGCAACTGCTCGTGCGCAGCTTGGAGTCGAATAAAACAGAGGGGTGAGCAAATATATAATGTACTTACATGTTACACAAACTAATACCGCTTTTATTCTGTAGTGTCGGGTATGCCACCCAGGAGCTGCTGCTATTGGCTGGAGAGGCTTTGGTTTTAAGCACGGGATAATTCATATGCGGTTGAATCAGTTAGTATTTTATTGATAGTTCTTTGTTTAATGCTTTGTAAGTTCTCGTAAATATATGCCACCCAACAAGATTTATCGGTATTTAATTTATGTATGTATACATATATATACTATATAATTTAATGTATTTTAATTTTCAGAGACATTCAGTTATATGTGTAAATATGACTTGTATTTTCATATTAATTTCCTTGTTTTATTTTGTATTTTTTATACATTTATTACACACAGAATATTTAATACACATGCATTTTGCTAACAATTAAACTCTTTTTAATTTGGCTAGACTTTTTTTCAATTTTTTAATGTTTACGCGAATTAATTTTATTTGCGGGTTTTCCTTATCACCTCTTCATATCAACTTATATCAAATATTCTTTATAAGGGGTAGAAATGCTAAACTGCAGCACATTCAATAATTACGAATACACAAAAAGAACGTACAACTATATTATTTTAGGTATGTATATGTACGTGTAAGTTGGTATATGTACAGCTCGCTTACAATTAAATGTTGGCTCTGGACGCCCTTTTATCCACTTAACAATTAAATCTACCATGTTGCTGGGCTCAAACAGCAGAGTAAACGCAATTGTTAAGGCGCCGTCATTGCCGCTACGTTGCAAGGGGGTTGCGGGTGTGTTGCATATGCTACACGCAACCCCTTTGTAACATAATCACACCAAAATAAAAATTCACTCAAGTGCGCAAGATGTTACTTAGGTTACGACTTAGCCTAACAGTTAGTACGAGTACAAGATTAGATTTGGTTTTGGGTTCAGAAACACACACATTTTTGAAATTATATCACATTTTTTTCTTTTTGGTAATCTTTGCTGCGATTGCAAGCAAACCACATGCTCTATAACTAGTTAAGCTTAAAGATAAAACATTTAAAACGTTTCGCAATTATACAATTAAATGTGGCTGACAATTTTATTTGACTCTTCGTTGGGGTTATTGTTAAAATTGTTGCAACTCGTTTTTTTTTGTGCAACAGATTTTTCACAATATATCTTCCAAGTGGCAATGCAATCAGGGCAGGGAGGTTGTCTAATAACAATTATAAGCGATTAAAAAAACAGCATTAAATGTCCTAAGAAATCAGCGAAAGAAAATAAACCATTAAAAGAATGAAAATTAATTAATTTGTTCAGAAATGCAATATGTTTATTGCGAAACAATAACGTTTAAATTAAAAATAAAACTGCAAATAATAATCCTTTAACTAAAAATAGATACATAAAGTATTGAAATAAATCAATTCTCGAAATATATATTTCTTTATTATAATATATTTATTTTAATCGCTAAAACACAAATAAAAATGAAATATATATGTTAATAAAACAATAAAATCATATTTTTAATACATGCCAGAATTTAAATTTAATTTAGTATTTAATAATTTAATTTTCATATATCTATTTTGATTCAAATTATATTTATTTCTCACTATAGCAAATAATAACCTTTAAATTGAAAACATCAAAAACTAAGTATATAAATCCATAAAAACTAAAACTTTTTATATTAATATAAATTTATTTTTATACCAATTTAAGATATTTAACACTATACCAAAGAAAATATTTAATATAAAAAAATATATAAAGGACGAAATATTCTTTTTATTTTTTTGAATATACAACCTTGCAAATAAATGGTAATACTCTTTATATTATTTGAAAATTTCAACCTTTCATTCCCTAGACCACTCTGTATGCATTTTAAGATTTCTATCTAAAGATACCTTCACTCATCCTTTAGCTGCAGCCAATGGCTGACCACAGCTTAAACTGGAATTGCGGAACGCTTCTTGCCGCTTCCATTGCCGATCGTTGTGGCACTTCCGTTGCTACTGCCAGTGCTTGCAACATCGCTGCCATTGTTGTTGCTTGCGGCAACTTCACTCGCTGCCAGTTGCGATTGATCCGCTTGAGCTGGATTGAAAAACTCAACTTGTTGCTGCTGCTGTTGCTGTTGCTGGCGTTGCTGCTCCTTTAGCAGCTGCTGTTGCAATTGCTGTGCGTTTAGCTATAAATTGGTCTGCAGCACTGGCGCTCGTCTGCTTCCGTTTGATGTGGCCGTGGGCACAACTTCCGTTGCGGATGTTCCATCCGTTGAGCTAACCGAAACCGTCGATGCCGTTGTTGCTGTTGCTGTTGCTGTTGCTGTTGTTATTGCTACTGTTGCTGTTGTTTCTGTTGTTGCTGCTGCTGCTGTTGCTGTTGGTGCTGTTGGTGTTGCTAATGGACTGCTGGCCATGTGCTTGTTTGCCGTGCTGACTACCACAACAACATTGGCCTGGCCATGCTGCTGATGATTGATTTTGTTGTTGTTGGCCACAACCTGCTCGTCGGTTGGCTCAGTGCCACTGCCATTGGCCGTGGGCGTGGGCGTGGCCGTGGTTGTATTATTTGGCACGTATTGATCGGCATAAGGTATTTGGTTGTAAGCATTGCAGTCGAGGGACGCAAATATGCTGGATAACGCAATCGTCTGTGTGGCCATTTCGCACAATTTTTTGGCCTTAATCGAGTGCTCTGCAAAAGATCGCCACACATTGTTGATGGACCGGGCAAAAAAGCGGGCTCGGGTACCTACCTGTTTCAGTGGGCGTGATATGTTTTTGTAATTTCTCCTCCTGTGCACAGGTGGCGGCAGTCACGACCGCAGCGGCCATCATTGAGGATGGGCCAGTTCCCGCGGTGCGATGCATGTTGCCATAACGCGGGGGCATCATGCTTTGGCGCACATTACGCTCCGGTCGAACGAGTATTATGTAGAGCTGCGTATTAAGAGAGTGAGAAGTGGAAGGCGAGTCAGTACAAAGACTTGTAACAGTAACAGTTACAACTTAAATTAGCCCACATTTGCTGGGGCCCTTCATTAATCATACGCCCCATTGTACGTTCCCTATTTATGACTTACGCTACGACACGCCCCCAACAAAGCTGGAATACTGGCGCCATTAGTAATATGCCGTTTTTTGCGGTCGCGGTAATTATTACCAAAGGCCACTGACACTGCGACGGCGCTCAACAATTCCAGGCCATTAAATTGTCAACGCTCCTCGCTGGCCTTAGCCGAGGCTCAATGTAACGTTAAGCTCTTGCGTTACGTAACGCGCTGCCATTTCCGGTCTGCTGTGACATTGTTTGCCAGCCATTTGCCGCCGTTTATTATTGTTTTTCTTCTACAAACAAACAACGGAACACGGCACAGGAAGCAGCACAGCCGGACGCGAACTCGGACCAGCCGGCACCAGGCAAAGAAATACACAAAAAGGCAGCTCCGACTCGCCGGCAAATGGTGGTCGGAAGTTGCTTACTAGCCTGCCCCCACTTGTGTGCCTCGCCCCAAGGGGGCATCGCGCAGCGTCGGGCAGCCAGCTACACGGCTTGGATCTGGTTTGTTGCCTTAGTTCAGTGATCCCAGTTGCTTTGTGCTGGACTATTTGTTGTGGTCTCTTTTGTAGTTGGCAAAACAGCAAATACTAAATTGCATTTTTATGGCTTGAGGTGTTTATGGCAGCCACCTGCGTGAAAACATGTGTGCGTACGTCTTGGCTTGGTTGCGACTGTTAGTATAGAGGAAAGTGTGCATTATGTGACACCTGACAGCTATGTGGGCCCACAACCCTTCATTGTGCTGGTTAATAACGACAACTGCGCTTAGTATTTATTGCACGGTAGAAAAATTTTATGATAACTAGTTGGGAATTTCTGCCCAACAAAGGCGTTGTTAAGACAAAGTTCAGAGATACAGAAGTTAAGGGAAGTTTCTTCTTATATATTATTTGCGCCATCTACATCTAGGATGCTAGCTTTTCAAAAATGTTCGTACATAAAATTCTCTGTTGGCGGACAGCGAGCGTCAGGTATTTTTGTGAGCTTAAGGGAATGGTGTGGCCCGGATAATAATGGCTGAAGAGAAAATTTCCGCCCAAGAGGGACATCCGCCTAAGTGTTATGAGTGTCCGTTAGAAAAGTTCTCACTGTATCATTGAATCGGCAAATTAGCTGACAATAGAAAATGTCGAGCTGCCTCAGAGAAATGTGAAAAATACAGGTAATTTAATGCAGTCGCCCTTTTGCAGAAAATCGAAGGAATCTGAAGCTGATTAAAGGTAAATTACACAGCCGGTTGCAAGAGAGGGGTATTTCAAGTATTTGGAGGTATCCTCATAAAAAAATATCGAACAATTTGTTGTCGCGTGCATGTCTCTTAAACAGATGTGCATATCCACAAAAATATGGTCTATTTGATGGTTTCCTGTTCCAACTTTCTGTCTTGAGATTCGGATGGATATATTCGTTAGCCCAGGATTTGGTTCTAGCCTTAGTTCGTCATTTATTTTAAAATTATTAATGAAGAATTAAGTTTTAAATTTTTAAGCCGTGAAAATATGAATAGGGAATTTTTGGATTAAACTATTTTGGAAAAGGAATATGGTTCAGTTTGTACTTCAGATCATATCATTATACTTAGGTTCATATATTTAAGTTAGGGCATTTGTTATGTCAGCTCGGGTCTTATTTGCACTAATTTGTTTGACAACAGAGCAAGCCTGAGGACATCTAAAGTAATTTCTTGTGCAGTTGCAACAGCAAGAAAAAGCCCAAAGTGAATCCCAAGTTCGGCATTTAATGGCAAACTTTAAGATGTCAACTAAATGTTACAATTTTAACGAAGTGCGCCTTTGGGCCAAGTAAGTTGTAAATCTCCGAAACTGTCCAAGTAAGTTGTTAGTGAACTTTTATGCGCACAGTGCAGCCAACTCAAGCCAAATCCTCCGCTAATCCCCCACCAAGAGCCAAATTCTTGGCCCCCAACAGCCATAAATTGCTAAAGATATTATGCTCGTCTTGCGGTTCGCCGCAATTTAATGGCTAATAATGAAGCATTATTAAAAATGTTGTGGAAATGCCATGAACTCCTGGTCAAGGGAGTGAGAATAGTAAGACAAGTTTGGAGTTCATTGCACAGTGCTTGCACTTTCGTCTGTTGACACTTAAAGCTACTTAGTTGGACGCTTCAATATTGCAAGAAGATGTGGCAGGGCGAGATGTATCCAAGAAAGTGCTTTATGTAAATGTAAATGTTATCAGCACGGGATAAGATTGAATACAGAATACCTCAATTATTAATAGGAAAGATAAGCAATTAATGGGCGCCCAAAGTGGCAATCAATTGGCGCTTTTTCAGACAACACATAAATTATTAATTGCCGCTCGTCTTACCTTTGGCGTGAATAGACACGCAATCGTCACGCTGGCGGACAGGCTAATTGTCACCGACATGCTCGTTATTCGCAGCGGCACGTGATTGGCAGTTCCAAAGTACAGCGGCACAAAGGCCAGCCAAATGACGCAGGTGGTGTACATGGTGAAGCCTGGAATTATTCAATGAATGCAGAGCACATTAATGCCAAAATCTATTACAATCTCATCTTATTCAAATATACATCAAAAGCATTCTATTCATAATAGATGCTAGGAACTCACTCTTATAATTTAGGGACAGCACTTTAAACTTTAATTTAACTTCGACTTGAAGCTTGGTAATATCTTAAACTTAAGTGCAAAAAATTATATAAATAGTACAATCTTAAAACCAAAGATGTATATAATTTATCAACTAATTTTTCGCTTGGTAAAGTTCAAAAGATATTGAACGATTCCAGCGAGCATTACATTTGGGCTTTAATTAATAAATAAATTAAATTAATTGCAAGCTTAATTCGAATCTGAAAGTAAAATATCGCTCTAGAAAAAAAAACTCTAAATACCACAAATATTTCAAACAGCTGCAATTAAATTTTATCTTAAGTATCGTATCGTGTAACTTTATCTAAATTTAAAGACACAGAATCAAGACACATAAAAGTAAAGTATTATGGCTAAGCGCTTGCTGTTTATAGGCAATATATGGTGGAGTATATTAAAAATAAGCATAATTATATAGAGTACTTACCGATATGCTTAGATTCATTGAAAGCCTCGGGTATCTTGCGGGTGAGCACAGCATAAACGGTGCACACCACAATCAGGAGAATGGGATAGAAGAACGCAATCATGTAGGAGGCGTCTATGTAGGAGTCGCACACCAGCAAGTTATCTTCGCGTGTCGGATAATGATGCATGGCGTGTGATGGGGCAATTACCATCCAAACGCCATTAATGAGTATCTGCAACGAGAGCGCAACGCAAAGTTAAGATAAATGGGTGCTGCATGAGCGTGCGGAGAGATCCTTCACCCACCTGTACAGAGACTAGGCACGTGCAAATCACCAGCTGCGATTTTGGGCTAATGAATGAGGGCCGTTTAGCTGACTGTTTGCCAGCCTTGAAGATGCGCGCTATGCGATTAGTTTTGGTCAACAATGCGGCATAGACGACCGTGAAGCAGAAGCCCACGCTAAAGCTGCAAGCAGAGGGCATGACAAGATAGTTTGACACGATGAACTTATAGCTGCAGTCCCACACTCACACACTCATACACACACACACTTACCGCTGAATGGCGCAGACAATATTCGTTGGCTTCAGTACGAGGGCAAAGGTTACGCCATAGCACATAAATATGCCAGCGAGGAGTATGTAGCTCAGCTCACGACCAGATGCGCGCACAATGGGCGTGTCGTTGTGCCTGGATGGAAGATGGTTGGGCGAAAGAGCGAGAGCACAAAGTTATAATAGCTATATAAATACCAATACCAATGCAATGCCAATTAAACGAACTTGAGTCCTTGCAACTGGCGGAAAGACATAAAAGTTTTAAAGTGCCACAAACACACACACACACACAAACGCGCGCACACTTTGCATTTGGTCACACAGAGAACTCAATTAAACTCACACAGATGCAGTTACGCAAATGCATACACAGACGAAAACTCACCTGACAAACACGCCCACGACAAAGAAGGTTATCAATATGCCTGTTGCACTGAACGCCATGGCGCCAATGGCCCAAGCGGACTCGGGTCTAAGGTAAACCTCCGGTATGGGACGACAGTACTGCTTGTGGGCATCGGGCAGCGTGCCAAGTTTGCAAACGAGGCAGTGCGTTTCGTCAACCGGATGCCGTATCTGCAATTTTCGCAAAATGAAAATAATATACAAATATTAAATGATGTGCAATTAGTAATTATTGGGCACTGCCCGACTCTGTTGCAACAAGAACTAAATGAGGAGCCAGAGCAATAAATGATGGGCAAAATAAAAATCATGAGTATAAAGAGCTTCTTCTTAAGTTTACTTCGATAGTAATTGATGGTTTTAAGAAGAGAATGCAGACTCACGGCATCTATACTGATTTCAGTAAGGCTTTCGACTCTGTTAACCACTCCTTTCTGCTTCATAAATTATGCCTTGTCGGCTTCCCAGTCAATCTCTTCAACTGGACCGCAGAGTATTTGCGTAACACCACCCAAAAGGTTCTTTACAAAAATTTACATTACAAGATTACATACGAAATATTATAAGGGAAAAGCCGAGCAAACACTTTGAACAAAAGTTAATCTCTAGAGAATAAGATTCATGGGATTTTCTGCGTATTGAGCTACACTTAAATAAACTGTGCACTTGTTATACATTTATGCAAGTCAAGAAAAAAAAAACACAAAAATCAATAGAATTTTCAAAGAGTTTTTAGAGTGTTTTTTTTTCTGTAAAATTCATTGAATACCCTTAATGCAGTTCGCCGTAAATGAATGATGCAGCTCGTTTTCTGAATGAATTTAATGACATGCCTTTCAAGCCGCACTCTTCGCACAGTTTGCATTTTTTATGGTCCTGGACATTGAGCATGGAACCTATTCATGCTCTAGTTCTCACAATAATTCACTACATTACATTTCAATCAGGACAAAAGCCTTGCAAATAAATTACGAATTTTGCGCCACTTTCTTGCGGCAAGCCCCAGTTTCCCATAAGCTTAAAACAAGCGACCAGCTGAATGCATTCCATTGCATTAGAGTTGCTTTCAATACTAAATATATGGTAGAGTGAAAGAAAGAGGGAGTTTCACTTACTTGATAAGTCGTACAATTGAAACAGTGCCAACAACAGCTCTCGCCCTCAACGTATCTCTTGGCCTGACCACGCTCGCAGGGCAGACTGCAAACAGATTCCGGTGGCTTCGGATGCAACAGCTTGAACTTTACCTCTGGAGTGAGCAAACGAATCAGCATAAGTAGCAACTGGCTGTGAGTGCCACCTGTTGAGTGGTGTCTACTTACCGGACATATTCAGGCGCAGTTCGCCCTCGTAGTACTCGCCCACCTTGACCCAGCGGTACTCGCCCGCCACAGACTGCTTGAAGTGGATGATGTTATAGCGCGCGGGTCCGTCGCCGTTGCCGTCGAAGCGAAAATCATCGCCGCTGAGGCCTGCACACAATAAATGTTCGGGGTTAAATGCGTTTATGGCTTGGCGCCCAGCACCAGAACCATGACTAGAATCAGAACCGTGAACCCGCAGCCCAAAGCTAGAGCAGGCTTCTGCTTATCAGAAAATTGACAATTTGCGCGTTTTGCGTCAGTCGGCGGACTGCCTGCCGCCTGCTGGCTGCTGGCTGCTGTCCTGGCCTAGGCTGGGCTTTCTTATATAATTTATTGAATTTCAAATTGAGTTCAATGACGATGACAAGCAAGTCAATTTTCCACTCGAAAGCATGGCCAATGCGCATTGTGGGCACAGCTATGACTATGACTATGACGGCAGCTGGAATCCCCACTGTGAGCCTTGGATATAACCACTTAAATTATTTGCGCAACACTTGCGACATCGACACGCGCTCACACACTCAAACAAAAAACAAAACCAGAAGCCGTCATCCAAATTATCCTATAAAACTTTCGTTAAACATTTTAGCAACCGCTTGAATTATGCAGCTTTCCAAAGCACTTTTAGTTGTTTCAATTTTATTTCAATCGTTGTATCTATGCCTTCTCATTGGCCCTTAACATAGTTACTGACAGTATTTGATATATATATATATATGTACATACATTCCAGAGATTTACTAAGAGCATATACCCATGAGCGTAAAATCTGAAAGCGTAATTTTGTAATTATGTAGTCTGCCGGCATGAGTATGCGTAGTACTCATACGCGAAGCGTAAACGGGACTGAATCAAATGAGTAGGAGTAGCAGGGGCGGCTGAGGCCAACATCATATGCGAGTGTATTGGTTGAAAATTTAAGCTCACGTAATGGGAGTACTCTAAATTAATTCATTTTAAATGTCTGATAGAAATAACAGATGGTTCTGGTGTATTTTGAAAGTCAAATTCTGAGTAAATCGAAATGTATTTTCTTTCCTTAAAATATATTAATAATAATTATTAAGATAATTAGTAATATTCAGGAAAGAAATCATTAAAGACCTCCAAAAAATGCCAATTAATATCGATACCGATATTAAAATTACCTAGAATTTATTGATATTAAATGTAAATCAAACAAAATGTTTTCTGTTCTTTTGAGCTATTATTATTCATCAAATTAATTAATATTAAAATAGGTAGTATTCAAAAATAAATTCATTAAAGATCCCTGATGGAAACACTGATGGTAAATATTGAAAATCAAATAATATTAATACCAATAATGATATAGATATATATATATATATATAGATATATATATGTATATATATTCATTAATCAAACTAATATTTGATTTCTCAGATCTTAGTAAGTATTGAAAACATTCATTTTTGTTCATTCAATTCATGTTCAATATAGAAAATTTTCTCTAATGAAAACATAAATAACTAATAATAAGTATTGAAAGTAAAATAATGTTGATTTCGATATGAATATTAGAAGTAAATCGAAATAGTATTTACAGTTCTTTTGATCTATTAAAAATTATTATATTAATTAAAACAGATAACTTTTCAGAAGAAAAAAATCATTATCGATCTAAACAATGATAATAAATATTTAATGTCAACTATTATTGAAAGGTATATAGAAAATACCCTTTATTTCCTTTAATCAATCTGAGCCTAACAAATACTGAACAATTTATTTCAATTTCTAGACTCAACAATTTTCTGTTTTTTTTTTTTAATTTATAGAAGTATTCAGAAAAGAATTTGTTTAAGATCTCTGATGTAAATATAGACAAACTATATATTAATTTATTAATTAATGAAAATAAAATTGATCGATTTATATTAAACATGTTCGTTGTCAACTTTTTATCTAAAAGCTATTTTTAGCTAGCCTAGGCAAGGCTACATTTTATTTACATTTTTATTCAAGCGGCTTGTTAAAATTCGAATATTTATTAATTTGAATATTTAAAAAAAAATAAAAAAAATTAAAGGTTGCATATTTTCTCATTAATTCCCATTCACTTCTTCATTCAATTTGTGATACCTTTATCGAACGCAACTGATAAATTGATTTGCAATATTTATTTGATTTTAAAGTTGAACAGAAATTTAATTGTTCTGTATTTGCGTGAGGCTATTTGATATCTAAATCAATATCAATTTATTTGTTTTGCTGCCCTCACGTTTTGCCTCTTCGGCACACACAAGCTCGCAATTAGTAAATTTACCCGTAAATTCGACTTTGCGATTAGTCAACTTACCCTTGAATTGGACCTTACGCAAATATTTGAGCAAATCAGCACCCTTGGTCGGCTTCATGGCATCGCAGAGGGACGGACGACCGCCGCACAAGTCGCGATGCATGTCCCTGCGAGGATTGGGGCAGTTGTAAACAGCTACTGGCTGGTTTATTGCACGGATGTGTGTGCTTTGGGTTCAGCTTACCTCAAGGCATAGGCAAATGCCATTACCGCATCGCTAACGAACTGCAGTTGATCCTCAAAGTCGGTGTTCTGCCGGGATAGGCGTTCCTTGGTGGTGCAGGTACGGGTGTAGTTGTTGTACGGTGTGCTAGTGCTGCCCGGATAGCGACATTGGAAATGGTCCTCCCAGAATTCTGGAATGTGTGTTCGGGTAATTAACAAAAGCTCCCCAGGCTGAACAAAGGAAAAGGCAAAAGAATTTTGCGTACCCACAAACCAGGGATTGCGCTGGTTATTCTCCACAGTCAGGTTAAGAAAATATTCCTCGAAGCCACGCACAGGATTCGCCTGCGGCTGCACGGACAATGTACCCTCCACCTACAAAAGGAAGAAATGATAACGCGGACGCACGATGCGTATGCGTAATTAATTTGAGTTCAGTTTCGGCTGCCACTCTAAGGGTTGTGGGGCTTTGGGCGGCAAATTAATTTGCCAGAGCCTCGCCCTGTGCCAGGCATACGCAATACACAATTTATTTCAATTAAACCATAATTCATCATAGTAGGGCTACATTTTGTCTGGTTGGTGCTTTTGTCTGTTGCCATCATTTATAAATTTTTAGTTGCTGGCATGTCACCGCACGCCCCCATCACTCATCTATGGGCGTGGCACATCAACAACTTGCCCAACGATTCATTAATCACACTCTTCCGCACATTTACGCTCATAATTTCCGTGTGGCGCTGACACCACAACATTTAATCTAAGGCTAATAGTTTCTGCTACTTGCCTCTGGCTCATAGTCATCCGAGACGAGATTTCGTGCACTCCAGCCGTCGGAGCCAATCCAGGAGAAGGCGCCTGTTGCATTCGCTCGCCTCACCGCCCGCATCACTTGCCGCACTTCCTGATCCGAGCCGAAAATGATGGCGCCTGTTCGATGGGCACAATTTCCATGTTCGATTTTCAATTTTCCGATTTCGAGGCGAAATGCCAATGGACACGCGGCGCAGAGCGAGAGTGCGAAAGAGAGAGAGAGAGAGAGAGAGAGTGAGAGTGAGAGCGAGAAAGAAGAAATGTGCAAAAATTAATTTTAATTGCATTAAATATTAAGTAAGCGGATTCACATGCAGTAGTCCAGCCAGGCCTCTGACTCTTCTGTGTCAATTTCAAAATAATTCGTTGAATATTTCATTTTATTCTGCGACGACCTTTTTCACTGCAAATTGATTGCAAATTGCATTTTGAGTCCATGCATGAGTACAGCATTTCTTATATATTAACATTTCTGACGTTAACCGTATAAAGTAGCCTGGAGCTGTATATAAACAGTTGACCAGATTCATAATTCAAGTTGGTCCAAATGAGTCCAAGCAAAAACGAGGTATAACTCGAATAGCTGCCACGCGTCTCTGCCTTCTTCACCATACTAATACGCAACCTACCAATCTATTAAAATTACAATCCACTGAGATTTAATCCTCGGTCTTCACATCAGTTGATCCTAACACAACAATTTCGTTACCGATAGCCAAGAAATTTTAATTCATACAAATTGTTTTACCTCAATTACACAAGGGCAAAAACATCTGCATTAATTTATTCAAATCTCAATTTTATTTTTAATTTGTGTATAACATATATTCCCTCTTTCGTCTTTTTCTCGCATCGAAACTTTAGCCTCGCTCCGACGCCTATCTAACGATGCTACACAACCGTTTTTATAATTTTTATTTTTTATTTTTTTATGCCAAAAAATGCAATTCAATAACAATTATAAAAAATTATATATTTGAATAATTTTTGGTTCCTTTATTTAATTTTTAAAAAAGAAATATAATAATTGCAAATTGTTACTATGTTTGAACCGGCGACTGCTCGATTGTTAGTCCGACGCTCAAACTATGTTGTTTTTAATGTTTTTCACAAACATTTCGGCATAGCTTGCTTGTCAGGGAAAGCCCTTTAGTATATATGGATATATATATATAAATATTCTATATTTAAATTTTTGACAGACAACACATTCTCAGAAAACTGTCAAATTTCTGGGCTTGTCTAACAATAATTTTTCGCTTGGGTAAGCCTTTGTAGTCCCAAAGTGAAGTTTGTGGAGCGGTTAAGAGAGTCGTGTTATGTGTGTAAGAGTTAGTACTCCCGTTCTCTACTCCCTACATTTAATTAACGGCCTTTCCCATATATACTCCCTTATTTTCCACAAAAATTAGTTAAACGACATATATAATTTATGTTTGCAATGTATATTCTTTAAATCAAAGCAGAGTTTATATATATCTCAATAGACGGGCATGAGTCTACGCTTTTAACTAAAGAGTTGCACACTCGCTTTAAGTTTTTCAAAGTCGTGAAACAGAAATATTTATGAATCGCACTTCTTAAGCGAAAGCTTATATTTAAATCGCTGTTCGGGGACTCATAAATATCCTTAATAAACAATGCACAAGCGTAAAAAATGAAATTCGAAGCCCCAGCGCCGAATTCTCTACCGTTACAGTAGTTTATTGCCGACACCTTTTTGACATTTAACATGGAAAACCTTAAAAAAACGGCCTTTTAAATAATTTTTCAACTAAACTTTAAATGGCGACAGCGCAAACTCCGTCAATCATACGCCCATAATAAATAAAGAATTCATTCAATTCGCTTTGTATTCCCTGTTGTCAAACAGTTAAACTTTAGGGTATGATGATTGGCTAAAAATGTCAGTAATAAACGGATAGAAGCAGCATTGACACTGTGAAGTATATTAGTTTTATGTGATAAATAATAACTGGAAATCTAGTATGCGGTATTGGAGTCACAATAGTTGCATATACTGTGGGTTACTTAAAAGCTAGCTCCAGGGTATTTTCTAGTCTATCAATGTGCTTAAAGAATTTCCACTTTATTTTTTATTGCTTTGAGGTATTCGAAATGTATGTAAAAGTCGCTTTGATTTGCAAATATTAATCAAATGCCAGCTACAGACTGCCAAGAAATATATTAAAAATAATTACCATCACGAGCTCTTACGCATACCATTAATCAGGAGCGACTGCCAATGAACAACAGATGGCGCTGCAGCCGCTCCAGTCGCTCAAGTTGCTCAACGCCAATAACATCGACTCCTGCGCGGCCTCTGTTGATTTGCATAAATGCGCCATCAGTAGTCGTTAAAAAATTGACTGGCTATCGAGAGGAGAGGAGCGAGCCTTTCGAAAAGGGTTTCTCAACAATCATTATTTATTGTGATTTGTGATTTGACGCAATTTACCAAACAGAGTTCCATTCAATACCCTCTGCGTCTGCTCGACTCATGTATTTCGCTCTTTTCGTCAGATGATTAATCAAACTGACAAAGTATTTTCCCTCGCACGAACATTTCACACATGTGAGGGGTTACTCCACTCGTAGCTTTGGGCGTTACTTGAAAAATTATACTCGAAATTGTAAATGTAACTGCGACTTTCTTAACTGCCAACGCGAGTAAAATTTACCTTGCAATGCTTCCACTGGGTGCGACCCTATAAAAAGGCGTTTTCAAGTGCCTTACAAGCTTTTGCTCTTTATCGCTTCAGATAAGTTAAATTTACTACGCAAAAAAATGTACAAAATAAACATTCCCTATGCAGTTTTCTTGTTAAATTTTCAGTTTATTTATTAAGTGGCAACTATGTGGAGTTCAGAGTTTATTATAAAGCCATCAACTAGGTTCGATATAACATTATCATGTGCAATAATTTGTGGCCTTTTAAAGAGAGATTTTAACTTAAATAGAAATAACATTTTTGTAGAATTTTTAATAGAAATTCTGTCAAGATCATGTTTAGCCCACTTCACCCATGAGTTCCAAGCTTGACATGATGTTAGTTGACATCAAAATTTCATATTTAATTCTAAACCAACACTTTCTGTAAATAGGCAACACCACAACAGCGAATGCCAGATCAGGCAGCTTACTTCTTTCTATTCATAGTTTAGTGTCAATCTCTTATTTTGTCGAATATGCAACTGACATATAAAACTCTGCTGCTATATATTAACAAGGAAATCTGCATGAGCATGTAGCATATTTGACATGCTGTTAAAGCAGATGTCAGCTCTAACAGGAGCTAGATAAACTTAAAATCCGACTTTTCGTCTACGTGTAGCCGTAATTATGAACGTATTACCAACGATATACATGGGCCACATGAAAAACTCTCAGCTGAAGGCTCTCAGCTGCCCAGTCACATAGAACAAAGGAACTGCTTGAGTGTAAGCCCAATGGCAGCACAAAGGCGTCCTCAAGTTAACGTATTCTCTGTGCAGCTGTTGCTGCTGCGCCTGATTAAGTTTCGCTTAACTTTCAGCTCGGCACAAAAGCCAATCGATAAGTTTGGCATAGGACAAGCCGCTACAGAAAGGAGCCACCAGGACAGCAGGCCAGGAAGTCAGTGAGGCAAAATTATGACGCGAAACAAAAGCGAAATGTGGACGAGCTTGAGGCTGGGTAACGCTGCTCCTGTTCCTGATAAGAAATGACAACTGCAGTCGGCACAACACACAGAGCCAACCACAGGTTGGACGAGGATGGCTGCGGAAGACGGCAGCCTCAGCATCAGTTTGTCCGTCCATAACAATGAAAGTCATAACAATGAAAGTAACATCACCAAGGAACTCTGGCTGCTTAGCAGCGAGTCTCCCGGCTGACCATCAAGAGTCAGGCGTCAATAAAACGGACAGTTTTTGCCCGTCCTGGTCCATCATTAAGAGCCCCCACCAAAGAATATGGCAAAAACTGAAACTGAAAATGAAACTAACCCAGAGACTGTGGACAAGGAGCGTTTAAGTGGCCGGCTGCTCGCTCGCACAGCGACAATTTCTTGCTTATTGTTTGCATTTTGATAAGTTCTGCCAAACACTTTGTTGGCAGCAAGGCCGAGGTTCTCCAGCTTTCACAAAGTCTCTTTCGAGGGTCCTGTGCCTCGTCTCCTGCCATGACCACTTCTCGGTCTCTGTGCTTATTTAATTAAATATCAAGCAAAAAAATGACTGTGTTTTAAAGGTATTCATTTTAAATGCTTGACTCTCGGCGTCGCCTTTTGCTGTTTTGATTTTAACTTGATATTGTTTATAGTATTTGGTTGCTTCATTTACATTTCGTATTTAATTGCGGTTCTTGTGATTTATTCTGTGTGCTGAAGGTGAATCTAAGGCAAATCTAATTCTCAACTTAATTGTGGCTAGACAATAATGTTCGGTTATGTACATTTTGTGAAGCGGTCTGAAAATATGTAATTTACAAACCATATTGCGAATCAACAAATGTGGAATAATAATAAATACGAAAAGCCTTTTAATTTGCGGGTGGAATAGGAATCGATTATTCTGTCGATAGGGTTGTTTGTTTTTTAGAGTGATCGTCGCGACACACTGTCAAATGCCTCACTATATCCAGTATATATTTATATCAAACTTATTTTCTTGCATTAAAACGTTTGTTTTATTTAAGATATCTTGACCAAAGTTTTCATTTACTAGGTTCACAATGTGCTAGATTTTATACACTTCGGACCACTACAATTTATATCTACCACAGGAAGGTTGGGTTTAAAAATAAAGCAACAATTATTAGGTTTGATCCAAACTTAGCATAAGCATTCGTAACTGTGAGTAAAACTATATAGCTCGTCATCGTCTCCGTATTAATAAATTTACTCGTATTAATAAATTGCAAGCGTTACTATCGATAGTAACGAAAATATCGTCGGGGGCGACTATCGCTAGTTTACCAGCTCTAGCGTATCGCATCTAAGCGTTTACTTTCAATAAAGAAAATGGTAAGTACTCATCTTAAGCTATAATTTATGAGTTGAAGATTAAATTTATAGCAACTTAAGTTTCGAAAAATACGGCCATTACGCATTTTACATAAGATATTCTTATTGCATAGAAGTATTTCCTGAAAGCTTAGCCCTAATATCCATATGTGTGCTCACTCTACTTTCTCTGCAATTATGAAAAGAATTGTGATTAATAGCCTTTCTCCACTGGGCTTAAAAATGTCACATTTTCAAGTTTTACATATTGGTGTTCCACCGGTTTTCGGTAACATGTGAGTGGCAAAAGTACTGTTTCTTTAAATAAACAGCTGATCGAGTTGCTTTAATTTACATAAGCGCCGCACAGATTTCCTTCCAAAAGTCAAATAATACGGCCCCGAAGTAGCGGCTCCGTTTAATTGACTCTTTGCGGAATTTGGCCAACTTTAAATGTTAAAAACTGTGGGATTATTAAAATTTAAAATTATAATTTAAAGTTACCGCTTGCCTTCGTTGCAATATCAGCTGGTTTATGTTTACATTTTTCACAACATCGATAGAAATCTCGATTAATCATCGCAAAATACACGAAATGTTCGGGGCGAATTTACACATTTTTAAAAAATGTGACATTTTTGAAAAATGTGTGAAATGTGTTTTCTTATGGGGAAACGTACAGGCCGCATTTTACACATTTTGCAAAAATGTGACATTTTCAGAAATGTGTTCAGTGGGCAGAGGCTATAACTTCAATGTTTCGCTGACTGTTCGCATAAATATGTGTGAAGTATTTGTATTATATTGTAATATTAATGTTTCAATCGATCTGAATTACTTTGTTATCGACATGTCTTATTTGTGAATGATCCTAAACCCTAACCATATATGTATGTACATATGTACATATGTTCAGGGTAATCCTCGTTGACTCAGACTTGATTCCCATATAAAATACTGTCCATGCAAGCACAATACATTCTTTGAATACCAAATTAGTTCATCAAATCTTTGTCAAAACTAAGTTCTCGCTAATTTCCTTCCGTATTAATGCTGCTGCATCTGTGTTATCAACAATTTAGCTACCTCAAATTGAAGTCGAGACAAAATAATACTTTAATTGACCATATAAGAGACTCGAGCAAAGAGAGATTTAAATAAAGGAAGAATGTGAGTCACTTTTAATTGGTCAAGTAGCTAACAAGACTGACAAATGCCAAATACCATCAACATGTTTTCACTATTTGCAAACTGTCATTTTTTATGGTTTAAATTTATCATAATCCTACCACTTTTGCCATACACAACCAGCTCCAGTTCAGCAATTTGCCAGCACCCATGGTAGTTTATTTTGTCATTTGCAAAGTCGTGAGACGCTGCATTTTAATTTCCTGCGCTGGATCCTGCAGGCACTCACAACTGCAGCTGGGCAACGGCAGACACTGCAAAACGCAACTAGAGAAATAAGATAAAGAGACAAGGGAAACTGCACTGGTCGGGCTGCCCGACTAGTAGATACCCTGAACTCCGCCCCAATCCGCCAAAACCAACATTCTAGCTTCCTTCTACACACAAATACACAAAGTCGTGAATACACTCACACATTTACGATACTAGCTGCGCTGCTTCTTCCCTAAGCACCTACCAAGAGAAATTCTTTCCTAATTTACTTCGGTGTTTATTTAAATAATAAAACCCAGAGTATACCTCCGAAAATGCTTCGAGTAAAATAATCTCGATTTGTGTACAAATTACATACCAAATTATATATGTATGTATCTCTAGCTCTTATAAGCTGAAGATTTCGATATTGATTTTTATCAGCATCATGGAAGCAGTGCAAACTATCGATGTTTTGATGCAAACTCGTACTGTAAGCTAGCCAGCAGTCAGACTAAATTTTGATATATGTACACATGAATACTTTACAAAACATTTTCAGAGAAAAATAAAAATGCGATTAATCATTTCATGTTGCGACAGAGATATCTTTTCTTTCTTAACTTTTTTCGTCCCATACTTTTATGACACTTCGATTAAGAGCTAAGAAGAGTTAATGTACATATATAAACTAGCTGGTGTTGCCCCGCACCCCCTTAAAAGACACTACCACTTGATCTGCCTTTTAGGCCGCTTAGAAAGATAGATCGTAAATAAAAATAGAAACTCAGAAAAAAAATTTCCAATATACCTATACACCTATCCCTTGTTGAACGATTTGATTTTTGATTTAGAAGCCGGTTTGATTTATTGTCCAAATAATCTTCAGTCCCTGGTTCGTAAAGCCGCCTACAGGTTCCCTTAACGGCCTCGGTAATAAATGCATCCACAATTGCATCAAGAGATTTATGAACTCAATAAAGTCAAGAAGGTTCTTGAATACATGACAAGACAACAAGGAACCGTTTTCAATTATTAGGAAAAGAGCAGCATTAGCCTGTTAGAGGTCTCTAAATTTAGTCTTGATCTACTCAAAAAATAAACACTTGCTCTCAATAACCCAAATATTGAACGCTGCTCACAGACCAAGTCCGAAATGAAGGCAGCATATTACAAACTTTGTAGAAGTTTAGAAGTTGACTCTTAGCGTTTAGCTAGACATACAAAATTTCTTTATATTAAGTGTATTGGTAAAATACATTCATAAATATTAGTTAAGCTACAAGGAGAGTTGATTTTTTTAATGAATAAGTATAAAATACACTTCAATTCCAGGCTAATGTATGTAAAGTTTGCTTGCGGTATTTCAGTTAAATGCGAACTTTTGATCCCAATGCAGGCTGTTAAGCCTGGGATAGATGTATGAGGAGAATCATAAACATTTACATGACTACAGAGTATACGGAATGCAAGCAAACGTCGTGTTGCTTAAAATATTACGATTTAATTTGTGCAATTTCCGAAGCACGCCTCTGGAGCAGCGAAAAAATCTCATCTTTGACGCGGCGTGCTGCGAAAGTTAATGCCAGCATTTGGTCGCTTTCCGTTGACATTTAATTTAAAATGTTTTTTTTTGTTGTTGTGTGGAATTTGCTGTTACTGCACTTACCTCTAGCGCGCGGTTTCGTGAGCAGCTTTTGCACAATATTATCGTATGCAATATCCTCAGCCACTCCCGAATCCTTGACGAGCTTCTCCTTAATGGCAATACAAATGTTATGGCGTGCCAGCAACTCTTCTAGTTCCTCAAATGCCTGCAACAACAAGTAGACAAAGAAATGGAAATTTACTTTGGCGGAGAAAGCACGACGAGCTGCACACGGAGTTGGGCCACATCCGGGGTATAAATGGCGACCAGCTCCTGTGCCGCTATAAAAGCACAGAGCTTTCCGCAAAACAAATATGCAACGCTTCGTGTCACATAAAAAAAATACAGAACATAAAATAAAACAAACTTGAATTGAAGCTGCCGAATTGAAACTGTCTCCGGACACGCGATATTCCTAAACTGAATTCAAGCGACGAGTCGTTCAGCTTCCAAAATCGATTAACCCCTTTGAATGCTTGAAATACCTGCAGCTATGGTCTCAGAGAATATCTGCGCTTGAACTTTAAATATTAACTTCTAATCAACAACATTTAAAGCCATAGTATATATTTATAAAAACTTGTTTTGCTCAAATTGTCTAAAAATTGCATAAATTCTTGTCTATTTATTGTTTAGTAAAAATTGTTTTTGCGCTGCACTCACCTTGATGCCATAGTTGCTTTCCTCGTAGATAATCGAAACATAGGTCCAACCCATGCTCTTGACAATCTCAACCATGGCCTTTACCTGGTAGTGGTCGGAGGGAATGGTGCGTGAGAAGTACTCAAAGCGCTGCTTGTTGCTCAGCTCCGGGCTGGTTGAGAAATATGAGACCTGCAAAAAATAGATGCACAAGCAAATTTTGATGAAAACTATTCCATTATAGCGTCAACAAAATTGCGCAATAAAAAATGAGCTGCAGTTGCCGTTGATTGAAGCTGGCAAAAAAAAAATGGTGTACTGTGCACTTTTGGTTGGTCACAAAGTATGCTCGAGGAAGACTTTTTGCTTCGCTGCCCTTCGGAAATTGCAGATACTTTTAATACAAAATCTCAATAAAGCTATTTCTTTGTTATCTGTTATCCATAGCAGGTAAATACTACTTTTACGATAAACGATACATTGCACACGAAATTTAATATCACGTAAACCTTTTTGATGACTTCATCATAACTGAAGCGTTGTTGATATTTAATGCAACTCAAGTTTCCAGCTGCCCAGCACATTGTCAATTACCAGCATTCGATTTTCCAACGAATTTACAAATGTTGCGCGTCGGACTAATTATACTCTTATTTCCAGATTCTCGATTCAACTTTTAGTTTCTTAGTTAAACCATGCTCCTGGCATAACTAAATCTTAATAGACCACTACATCGATAAGCTCGATGTCTACAAGGACATTTAATTCACAAGATTTTTAAACATTTAATTAAATATCGTATTAAATAATATTTTAATTTTCCCCATTCCCGACTACTTGCCGTCTTGTCGTTCAGCCTTTTATATTAAAATAGAAACTTTTCTTGCCTTAGTTGGCCGACTCCTGACAAATGCTGAGCCCCAAACGTCACACTTGTAGCGTAACACAATAATTTCTAAATGCAGCAAAAATTCACTCCTTATGATTTTGAAATTCCAGCTACAAGTTTGTTCTCTAAGCGGTCGACATTCGCCAACGACCATACTACGCTGAATACATCGGTTCTCGTCCGATCACCGAAATTAAGCAGCGTCGGGCGCGGTTAGTACTTAGATGGGGGACCGCTTGGGAACACCGCGTGTTGTTGGCATCGTCCACAACTTTTTTTTATAGCTCGAACAAATTGTATACTACTTCAGTTAATCAATTGTTTTAACTTGCTCATTCAGTAGCTCATTTTCTTTATCTAACATTATTTATCTGATTATTTATAGATTATAGATTTTTTTAAAAATATAATTCAATTCAATCCGTATTAATTAATATTTTAATTTTTCCCATTCCCGACTACTTGCCGTCTTGTCGTTCAGCCTTTTATATTAAAATAGAAACTTTTCTTGCCTTAGTTGGCCGACTCCTGACAAATGCTGAGCCCCAAACGTCACACTTGTAGCGTAACACAATAATTTCTAAATGCAGCAAAAATTCACTCCTTATGATTTTGAAATTCCAGCTACAAGTTTGTTCTCTAAGCGGTCGACATTCGCCAACGACCATACTACGCTGAATACATCGGTTCTCGTCCGATCACCGAAATTAAGCAGCGTCGGGCGCGGTTAGTACTTAGATGGGGGACCGCTTGGGAACACCGCGTGTTGTTGGCGCATCGTCCACAACTTTTTTTTTATAGCTCGAACAAATTGTATACTACTCATTCAGTAGCTCACTTTTTCTTTATCTAACATTATTTATAGATTATAGATTTTTTTAAAAATATAATTCAATTCAATCCGTATTAATTAATATTCGAGCCTTTTATATTAAAATAGAAACTTTTCTTGCCTTAGTTGGCCGACTCCTGACAAATGCTGAGCCCCAAACGTCACACTTGTAGCGTAACACAATAATTTCTAAATGCAGCAAAAATTCACTCCTTATGATTTTGAAATTCCAGCTACAAGTTTGTTCTCTAAGCGGTCGACATTCGCCAACGACCATACTACGCTGAATACATCGGTTCTCGTCCGATCACCGAAATTAAGCAGCGTCGGGCGCGGTTAGTACTTAGATGGGGGACCGCTTGGGAACACCGCGTGTTGTTGGCATCGTCCACAACTTTTTTTTATAGCTCGAACAAATTGTATACTACTTCAGTTAATCAATTGTTTTAACTTGCTCATTCAGTAGCTCATTTTCTTTATCTAACATTATTTATCTGATTATTTATAGATAATAGATTTTTTTAAAAATATAATTCAATTCAATCCGTATTAATTAATATTTTAATTTTTCCCATTCCCGACTACTTGCCGTCTTGTCGTTCAGCCTTTTATATTAAAATAGAAACTTTTCTTGCCTTAGTTGGCCGACTCCTGACAAATGCTGAGCCCCAAACGTCACACTTGTAGCGTAACACAATAATTTCTAAATGCAGCAAAAATTCACTCCTTATGATTTTGAAATTCCAGCTACAAGTTTGTTCTCTAAGCGGTCGACATTCGCCAACGACCATACTACGCTGAATACATCGGTTCTCGTCCGATCACCGAAATTAAGCAGCGTCGGGCGCGGTTAGTACTTAGATGGGGGACCGCTTGGGAACACCGCGTGTTGTTGGCATCGTCCACAACTTTTTTTTATAGCTCGAACAAATTGTATACTACTTCAGTTAATCAATTGTTTTAACTTGCTCATTCAGTAGCTCATTTTCTTTATCTAACATTATTTATCTGATTATTTATAGATAATAGATTTTTTTAAAAATATAATTCAATTCAATCCGTATTAATTAATATTTTAATTTTTCCCATTCCCGACTACTTGCCGTCTTGTCGTTCAGCCTTTTATATTAAAATAGAAACTTTTCTTGCCTTAGTTGGCCGACTCCTGACAAATGCTGAGCCCCAAACGTCACACTTGTAGCGTAACACAATAATTTCTAAATGCAGCAAAAATTCACTCCTTATGATTTTGAAATTCCAGCTACAAGTTTGTTCTCTAAGCGGTCGACATTCGCCAACGACCATACTACGCTGAATACATCGGTTCTCGTCCGATCACCGAAATTAAGCAGCGTCGGGCGCGGTTAGTACTTAGATGGGGGACCGCTTGGGAACACCGCGTGTTGTTGGCATCGTCCACAACTTTTTTTTATAGCCGAACAAATTGTATACTACTTCAGTTAATCAATTGTTTTAACTTGCTCATTCAGTAGCTCATTTTCTTTATCTAACATTATTTATCTGATTATTTATAGATAATAGATTTTTTTAAAAATATAATTCAATTCAATCCGTATTAATTAATATTTTAATTTTTCCCATTCCCGACTACTTGCCGTCTTGTCGTTCAGCCTTTTATATTAAAATAGAAACTTTTCTTGCCTTAGTTGGCCGACTCCTGACAAATGCTGAGCCCCAAACGTCACACTTGTAGCGTAACACAATAATTTCTAAATGCAGCAAAAATTCACTCCTTATGATTTTGAAATTCCAGCTACAAGTTTGTTCTCTAAGCGGTCGACATTCGCCAACGACCATACTACGCTGAATACATCGGTTCTCGTCCGATCACCGAAATTAAGCAGCGTCGGGCGCGGTTAGTACTTAGATGGGGGACCGCTTGGGAACACCGCGTGTTGTTGGCATCGTCCACAACTTTTTTTTTATAGCTCGAACAAATTGTATACTACTTCAGTTAATCAATTGTTTTAACTTGCTCATTCAGTAGCTCATTTTCTTTATCTAACATTATTTATCTGATTATTTATAGATAATAGATTTTTTTAAAAATATAATTCAATTCAATCCGTATTAATTAATATTTTAATTTTTCCCATTCCCGACTACTTGCCGTCTTGTCGTTCAGCCTTTTATATTAAAATAGAAACTTTTCTTGCCTTAGTTGGCCGACTCCTGACAAATGCTGAGCCCCAAACGTCACACTTGTAGCGTAACACAATAATTTCTAAATGCAGCAAAAATTCACTCCTTATGATTTTGAAATTCCAGCTACAAGTTTGTTCTCTAAGCGGTCGACATTCGCCAACGACCATACTACGCTGAATACATCGGTTCTCGTCCGATCACCGAAATTAAGCAGCGTCGGGCGCGGTTAGTACTTAGATGGGGGACCGCTTGGGAACACCGCGTGTTGTTGGCATCGTCCACAACTTTTTTTTATAGCTCGAACAAATTGTATACTACTTCAGTTAATCAATTGTTTTAACTTGCTCATTCAGTAGCTCATTTTCTTTATCTAACATTATTTATCTGATTATTTATAGATAATAGATTTTTTTAAAAATATAATTCAATTCAATCCGTATTAATTAATATTTTAATTTTTCCCATTCCCGACTACTTGCCGTCTTGTCGTTCAGCCTTTTATATTAAAATAGAAACTTTTCTTGCCTTAGTTGGCCGACTCCTGACAAATGCTGAGCCCCAAACGTCACACTTGTAGCGTAACACAATAATTTCTAAATGCAGCAAAAATTCACTCCTTATGATTTTGAAATTCCAGCTACAAGTTTGTTCTCTAAGCGGTCGACATTCGCCAACGACCATACTACGCTGAATACATCGGTTCTCGTCCGATCACCGAAATTAAGCAGCGTCGGGCGCGGTTAGTACTTAGATGGGGGACCGCTTGGGAACACCGCGTGTTGTTGGCATCGTCCACAACTTTTTTTTATAGCTCGAGCAAATTGTATACTTCTTCAGTTAATCAATTGTTTTAACTTGCTCATTCAGTAGCTCATTTTCTTTATCTAACATTATTTATCTGATTATTTATAGATAATAGATTTTTTTAAAAATATAATTCAATTCAATCCGTATTAATTAATATTTTAATTTTTCCCATTCCCGACTACTTGCCGTCTTGTCGTTCAGCCTTTTATATTAAAATAGAAACTTTTCTTGCCTTAGTTGGCCGACTCCTGACAAATGCTGAGCCCCAAACGTCACACTTGTAGCGTAACACAATAATTTCTAAATGCAGCAAAAATTCACTCCTTATGATTTTGAAATTCCAGCTACAAGTTTGTTCTCTAAGCGGTCGACATTCGCCAACGACCATACTACGCTGAATACATCGGTTCTCGTCCGATCACCGAAATTAAGCAGCGTCGGGCGCGGTTAGTACTTAGATGGGGGACCGCTTGGGAACACCGCGTGTTGTTGGCATCGTCCACAACTTTTTTTTATAGCTCGAGCAAATTGTATACTTCTTCAGTTAATCAATTGTTTTAACTTGCTCATTCAGTAGCTCATTTTCTTTATCTAACATTATTTATCTGATTATTTATAGATAATAGATTTTTTTAAAAATATAATTCAATTCAATCCGTATTAATTAATATTTTAATTTTTCCCATTCCCGACTACTTGCCGTCTTGTCGTTCAGCCTTTTATATTAAAATAGAAACTTTTCTTGCCTTAGTTGGCCGACTCCTGACAAATGCTGAGCCCCAAACGTCACACTTGTAGCGTAACACAATAATTTCTAAATGCAGCAAAAATTCACTCCTTATGATTTTGAAATTCCAGCTACAAGTTTGTTCTCTAAGCGGTCGACATTCGCCAACGACCATACTACGCTGAATACATCGGTTCTCGTCCGATCACCGAAATTAAGCAGCGTCGGGCGCGGTTAGTACTTACATGGGGGACCGCTTGGGAACACCGCGTGTTGTTGGCATCGTCCACAACTTTTTTTTATAGCTCGAACAAATTGTATACTACTTCAGTTAATCAATTGTTTTAACTTGCTCATTCAGTAGCTCATTTTCTTTATCTAACATTATTTATCTGATTATTTATAGATAATAGATTTTTTTAAAAATATAATTCAATTCAATCCGTATTAATTAATATTTTAATTTTTCCCATTCCCGACTACTTGCCGTCTTGTCGTTCAGCCTTTTATATTAAAATAGAAACTTTTCTTGCCTTAGTTGGCCGACTCCTGACAAATGCTGAGCCCCAAACGTCACACTTGTAGCGTAACACAATAATTTCTAAATGCAGGAAAATTCACTCCTTATGATTTTGAAATTCCAGCTACAAGTTTGTTCTCTAAGCGGTCGACATTCGGCAACGACCATACTACGCTGAATACATCGGTTCTCGTCCGATCACCGAAATTAAGCAGCGTCGGGCGCGGTTAGTACTTAGATGGGGGACCGCTTGGGAACACCGCGTGTTGTTGGCATCGTCCACAACTTTTTTTTATAGCTCGAGCAAATTGTATACTTCTTCAGTTAATCAATTGTTTTAACTTGCACATTCAGTAGCTCATTTTCTTTATCTAACATTATTTATCTGATTATTTATAGATAATAGATTTTTTTAAAAATATAATTCAATTCAATCCGTATTAATTAATATTTTAATTTTTCCCATTCCCGACTACTTGCCGTCTTGTCGTTCAGCCTTTTATATTAAAATAGAACTTTTCTTGCCTTAGTTGGCCGACTGCTGACAAATGCTGAGCCCCAAACGTCACACTTGTAGCGTAACACAATAATTTCTAAATGCAGCAAAAATTCACTCCTTATGATTTTGAAATTCCAGCTACAAGTTTGTTCTCTAAGCGGTCGACATTCGCAACGACCATACTACGCTGAATACATCGGTTCTCGTCCGATCACCGAAATTAAGCAGCGTCGGGCGCGGTTAGTACTTAGATGGGGGACCGCTTGGGAACACCGCGTGTTGTTGGCATCGTCCACAACTTTTTTTTATAGCTCGAGCAAATTGTATACTTCTTCAGTTAATCAATTGTTTTAACTTGCTCATTCAGTAGCTCATTTTCTTTATCTAACATTATTTATCTGATTATTTATAGATAATAGATTTTTTTAAAAATATAATTCAATTCAATCCGTATTAATTAATATTTTAATTTTTCCCATTCCCGACTACTTGCCGTCTTGTCGTTCAGCCTTTTATATTAAAATAGAAACTTTTCTTGCCTTAGTTGGCCGACTCCTGACAAATGCTGAGCCCCAAACGTCACACTTGTAGCGTAACACAATAATTTCTAAATGCAGCAAAAATTCACTCCTTATGATTTTGAAATTCCAGCTACAAGTTTGTTCTCTAAGCGGTCGACATTCGCCAACGACCATACTACGCTGAATACATCGGTTCTCGTCCGATCACCGAAATTAACGTTGTACGTCTAGAAGGGTATTTAGTCGTCTTTGTGCCGAAGTAATTCGTTTTTTGCCATTGTAGCGATATTTTAAGTTATATTGCTTGCTTCTTTCTAATTTTGGGACCTCTTAGCACCGTTTTCTACTATTTTTATTTTGCCGGACATATTTTTAAAATATCACTTTATATTCGTGCCACAGCTGTCATCTCTGCCAGACGCTGCTTGCCTCATTTTGCAGAGCTGGGGAGGCGACATAGCACTAGAGCGCAGACAATGCACCAAAGTCAAAGTGAAAATCAAACCGTAAAACCGAAAAACTGACACCCCGTGCCGACATAGCTTAAAGTTTTTCCGTTGTAAAATGGTGGAAAAGACTTCCAGTGCCACTAAAATCCAATTTCACGCACAAATTAACGCCGCTTGCATGGTGACTGACAGCATGGTAAGTGGAGGCGCGGCTGGGGGCGTGGCAATTGAACCAATTGCAATCCACATGACTTGCAGTCGTTAAAGGAATGCGCAGCGAAGCTCTTAGCCCAAAAATGTTCACACAATTTCCCAGGAGCATGGAGGGGGGTTGCCCGGAACCCAAAGTGCAGCTCGGCAGGTATTTAGCTAACTACTTGATTTCTAATTAAGTGCTATTATCATCAAGGCGCGCTCTGCTCCCTCAGAGCCTCTCCGTTCGGCTGCCCGTCTGCGCGGTTCTGTCAACAATTTACCAACGAAGTGTTTGTGCAGTCTTTGAGACTGATAAGGAAATTCTCTGAATGCTATGCAAACTGCCGACGCTTTGTGAAAACTTTCTCGAGCACTTCAATTCGCAATGATGTGTATGCTAATGGCATTCGAGGATGGTATTCGTGTGGGCATGAGTATATTTTCCAGGTGCTTATTCCAGCTTTCTGTTTTATTTCTCTCTCTTTTTGAGAAAAATCGAACTACCGAATTCTGGGATTCATATTCCATACTGAATATTATTTTCTCGAATAAATCTTTAATCACGTATATATTCTGAACTGTGTTCTTCTGAAGGATCAAAGAGGATTTAAGGAGGATGTCGTGAAAAGATAAAAATGTCACGACATCCTCCTTGAATATTGTAAATTACCACGACGAGCTGGGTTTTTCTGATCATTGCCATTTGTCCTGGTTCTCTTGGTGCTATCCATAACAGACTGCTTATATTATAGCTGTCAAAACACAAAACGCACGCTCTCCGAATGAACAACTCGCTTTAAGAGTCTACAGGAGATAGAAGCAATAAATTCGATATGTCAGTTCTCGTTCTCCAGGGTAAAGAGGGTATAATGTATTTGTGCAAATATATCTAAATGGCAGTAGCTTCTTTCACCCCATAAAGTAAATATATTATTGATCAGCATCAATAGCCGAGTCGATCTAGCCATGTACTTCTGTCCGTCTGTCTGTCCGCGTCCGTCTGTCCGTACGCAACAATCTCAGACCCTTTAAGAGCTAGAGACAGTAAATTTGGAATAAATAGGTTCTCCTAGTGCCTCAATATCGTAATAATGTTTTTTTTTAGCAAATCTCGTATAGTTGCCATAGGAACAATTGGTCGAAAAGTAGGTTCTTATATGGCAAAATATTCTGATTTCCAAGATATTTTGCAACATACTTTATTTCTGTTCAATAATTCTTTATGTTCAATAATTCTTCCTGAAATCCAATGATATCGTACTTCTTATTGGCGTAACTCTGAGTTTTTATTAACTGCGGGCACAAAGTTTAATATATTGTCTTACTTTCTTCTTGGAAAGGTACCCATCCAGGTGCCTAAAGGAATCTGTTGCCTTGTGCTCTGGCTTATAAGCACATATAAATCATATATTTATGCCCGGAATTAACGACCAATTTCCACAGTGTGCGATGGAAGAAGATGAAGCACGGCCTTTGCAAAAAGTGCGCAGCTTGTGTGTGTGTTTTTGTGGGTGTCCTTGTTTCCCTCAGCTTAGAGCTGGTAGTCTGCTAGCCTGGCACCCTTGACTAGATTATAACCCAAGATCTTGACAACAGCATTATATGAGAAATGAACTACCTTTCAGGACTCGGGTCGAGGCGGAGCCACTCTTTGGGTCTGGAGAGAGTCATTCAAATGGCACATTAAATGAGCTTGTAAGGTACATTGTGGTCATCAACGTGCTCGACTTGAAACCCTGCCTGATTTGAAACCAAAATCCGTACTCTACTTGACTCTGTCGCTCGGAACGCAGCCCTAAGGCTGGGCTAACAATGTTTTTGCTGGCCAGGAGAACCATCAACTACCAATGAAATGCAATCAAAAGCTAGCGCTTGATTTATGGCCATCTCTGAGCAACTGTTTTGGGGCTGCAGTGAATGGCTGCTGGGTGCGTGTGGTGCGTGTGCGTTTAATGGCATACTTGCAGGCGCAGTTGCCTGTTGCCGTGTTCCTGCTTACTGTCGCATGTTGACTTTTTGGCTGTTGCTCACGTAGGGGCAACGCTGCGGCTACTCAATCTTCCCAAGCGACGTGACTTTGGTGCTGCCACACGATGTTTCGCAGAAGGAAACAGTAGCAGACGGTAACAGGCAACAAGAGCCAGGACAGATGGAAGCGTGTACTAGGCTTAAACGGAGTTCTGTAAGTATCCTTGACATTTCCCTTGCGCAGCTGCTGCACTTTGCTTGATTTGTTACCCCTTGAAAGCCAAACTAATTTGGAGCCACGTGCTGGCCGTTAAACTAATTTCCGGCTGAGCATTATGCGACAAATTTTGTGCACTTTTTAATTACAACCACTAAAACTTTTCACTGCCAACAGCGTCCAGTTTTCAATGTAACGTATACGACATGTGCATCGACCTACCTGCGGTATCCGAAACAATCTCAGCAAATTGGCCACCTGTATGGATGTCACCGATGAGGCAGCACCAACCACGCCCGATATCACCTTTCGGACTTGGGTCTTGTTGCAATGATATTCCGCATCGTCAATGTTACTAATGGATCCTGTAACAAAATCAAGAAGGAGCGTAATACCGTTAGTATTGAAATTTATACGAATTTTTAAATATGCAAATAATATTTAATACATTTTAATACATTTAGCAATGAAATTTATGATAAATTCTAAGAGATGAAAATTAATTTTCAAGTATGTAAATAATATTTAATTAGGATATTACAACTAAATTCTGTAAATAATATTTAATACAATTAGCAAAGAAATTTATTCTAAATTGTAAGAGATTATAATTTACTTCCAACTATGTAAATAATATTAAATTTAGAAATTTATTCTAAACCAGAATTCAGAAGAGATTCACATTCCTTTTTAAATATGTAAATTATATTAATTGATATTTAATTTGTATATATATAATAAAGCTGTAAAACCGATGTTTTGAAATATCCGCAACTTATCTAATAAACTTTAATTCTGTTTACTTTTGTTTTTATTGAAAAATGCCTTATCTCAAGTTTTGATTATAAAACATACTAAATTCTTCATTTATTTTTTGCTTTTATGTACAATTTATTTTTTAGCATCATTTTATTATCATCAAAATGTTTGCATGCTCTGAACTTTTGTTAACTTTAACTAGCCACGTTATGCAGCTAAACTAATAACTAACACTTAATCGTAAATGCCCCGTGGCGCAGACGAAGTTAGAAATGAAGAGCCAAAGTTTGCCAGCGCCAACTCAAGGCAGACCTTTGAAGAGCACAACCATACAAAACCAGACCAAAAGCAAAACCCAAACAATGTAGTTGGTCATTTTGTTCCTGCAACTCAATCGTGACGACCCCACGGCGTTTATTCATTTGCATATTTGTGTTGATGCTTGCAAATTTATGTTTCTCTGCTTTTTAGATTTTTTTTTGGTTTACTTTGCAGCGTTCCAGTTTTTAATTATAAAACTTTTTGTGTACTGCTATTTGTTGCTCCATTAAATAGTTCTAATCGACAGGGCCAACAGTGATATATAAGCCCTTACAGTTTTCTCTTCGGTAATTATATTTACACTTTATTCAATTTATTTATTTTTCGGTAACTATTTTTACGCTTTATTCAATTTATTTGAATTCATTTATGTTCGCTTAGTTTGTTTTTCGAAAACACTAAATATTTTATTTTCTGCAATTTATGTTTTGCTTTTGTTTTTGCATTTGGAAACCATAGATAACTTTGTATACCCTGTAATAATAGGAAATGTTCACATGTCTGAAGAGAACAGTTTGATGGTATTTATTATCTCTCAAATATTATAGGATTTAGTCATGGCTGCAAAAATAATAATATTTTGTATCGCAAATCTATAACCCAGGCGACAGTTTTCATTTTAATGACTATAGAATGAAAACATTACTTTAGATCTTGTTGCAGCATTTTAAATATGTGTTGAATAATATTTTTGGGAACAGGTTACGATGGCATTAAGAGTATTGTTTAGGCGGTGAGAATCTGCTATTTATTGTTGCGTATTTAAGTGCAGATTTATCTGCGTCAGGTTCAGCGCAAATAAATGCGTGTGTGTTTCTTTCTAAAATGCACAGCTGCAAACTTTTAATTGTAGTCTGTTGTGCAACATTTGCTGTGGCTGACTGCTGGTGGAGGCAACAAATAATTACTATAAACGCAGTAGAAAACAGATGCTGGCAGCTCCAGCTTCCGATTTCGATTCGACTAAATTAAGCTAAGCTCGATTTAATTCCCCAACAGCAACACAGACACAGACAGACATAATCTGAAATTCGGCTTGGGGTTATTTTTTGAGTATGTACTTAAATACAAATTAATTAACTCCATTGGGTAGGCCACTTAATGGGTGCCCCAACAATGACGAAGCTGATGACTTGTGCTTGTTGGGGGGGTGTAGAGAGATCAGTGGCTCATAGTTTGCGGGTTGCCTAATCCTGTCAATATAATTCAGTGACTTGGAAAATTATATTTTTCATACGTCGGATGCGAGAAATGTGGCCGCTAGTCAATGCGGCATGTCGCTCAAATAAATCCTTGTTGCGCACATAAATAATGAAATTATGGAGATTAGAAAGTGTTCAGGCCTGTCGCAAGGACAAGGCCAACGACAGCCAATCCTTGCCATGCTGGCGCAATTGATTATAGATCGTTGTAGCTGTCGTTGTCGCTGTTCCATGCGCCGCTTTATTGCCAGATAAAAGCAATAAGCCCCTCCTTCATGTGCCCGGGCAAAGTGCCAGACAAAACTGCCGCACGCGGCCCAACTTACATATGTGAGCCATGTGGCAACGCCCTCACATCCGCCGGCACGCCCTCGCCCACTTCCGGCCATGTTGATCTCTGGCGGCGCACTTAATTTTCGCTCGCATTGACACGTGGGACTTCTGATGCCTTACTCTGTGTGCCTGTGTGTGTGAACTTCTGTGTGGGAGTGTGTGTCTGTGAAAATTCAATAAATGACACCGTTTTGTCTTAGGGGAATTATGTATATTAGTTTTGGCGCACGAAAGCGCTCAGAGGGCTTAAATGTTCCTGTCCGCTGCTGCTCCCATATTCCCCGCAAAGAAGTCGCTTAATTTATTTATTAATTTTGTTTATTAATCAAACGTTCGACGCTCGAGTAAATCGTATTTGCGTCAGCTTTGCCTTGGGTTCAGCGAAGTGCTTAATATCCGAAACAACAAATATTCCCATTGCGTGGGCAATCAAAGAGGAAATCCTACATTTGTTCTCAGTTTTTATATAAACTGTAATTAAATTTGTATTGCTTTTAATATTTATAAAAGAGTTCTGCAGAAGCAACCAATTGCACAACAGATAAGCCTTATATTCATTACCCAGAAGCTCGTATGAATGTAAATCACAGTAAATATGTATGTTGTTTCCTTTAAAGCTATTATTTTTTTATGTTTTTTATGGATGGGACGAAGTGTAGTATTCGTAGTAAAAAAAGGCGAAATTCCGCAGAACTTTGATTTTTTTTACCCTGAACGCATTTCTCAAAATGGGATTTATAGTTTCGTGGTAAGGCAGAGGGAGGCATCTTCCACCTATCGCGGGCGATAACTGAATTTTGTTCATTATCGATAACTCTCCCCGTTTCGATATCGATATTCTGCTTTTAAATATATATCGGAGCTTATAAGTGCCAGATATCTATTGTAGTATGTAGGCTCTTGTACACAGATTCGGAATATTTCATTCTCATAGATATATCACATAATTATAATGAAGGCAATTATGAAGGAAATGTCTTGTACTTTAATATTTATATACATTCGATTAACATATTTATCCCCTGACAAATTTATAAGAATCGGAGTATAAACATCGAAGTTAATTAGGAACGCATTCGCCAATGTGTGGTGTTAAGTGAATATGGCAATAAGTGCTACTCTGCTATGCGAAAAGATAAAAAATACTCAATTGTATATAACAGCAATAAGATTTGATTTGTCGAGTAGATTTATTAATAACATTATCATCGTGCTATATTGATTATTCAAAATACACTTCACATTTGAAGAATGAAAGTGTGCGGGGCAGAATTCTTAAGAAACTTCTGAACAATATATGCATATGAGTCCCACTGCACTTACCTTTTATGAAATCCACAGCCATTTCTAGGCCATACGAGTCCTTGTCGCAATCGTCGAGAATATGGGCGCCGAGCGTGATGTTAGGCAGCAAATCCATCTCATTGATGCGATCGATTGTGTAGAGCATGGCCTCCAGTGCCTGGATGCCGCCCTGTGGCATGATGGGGCCACAGGTGATGGTGTCCTCGCGCGAATGCACCATCATGAGGGCGCCCAGGATGACGTCGCCCTCAACGATGGCCTCCCGCTTGACGGGCCAATGGCGCTGCGCCTGCGTTAAATGCAGTCGATCCTGAAGAAAGTCTACGGAGTCGGGCAGCGAGCGCAGATACTTGCCGCCCAGCTCCGAGACCAGCGGCAGCATCACATTGTTCGCCTGGTTGTTGTTGTTGTTGTTGTTGCTATTTTGTGGCATCACATGGCGTCCACGATGACGTCCAGAGCGCGGCGAGGCGCCGGCGGTCGCCATGTTGGTTGCCAGCTCCATGTTCGCATAGCGCTGATAGCTATCCAAATCGAAATGATTATTGCCATAGTCGAGATTCCCGACATGCTGACTGTGTGGCTCGCTGTCGACCTCCTCGTCGTTGACATAATCAGCAAAGAGCGCAGGCGTGGGCGGGGCTGGGGGCCTGTTTATGGTCGACTGCAGCCAGTGCGAGTGCTTGCCTAGCTGCTGCCGTCGCTGCTCCAATTCGAGCGCCTTGTAATGATTTTCTCTGTAAGTCCGACCATGGCCATGTTGCTGCTGATGATGATGCAGATGCAGATGCTGTCGATGCGGGTGCTGATGATGATGATGATGGTGATGATGCCTCGCGGCTGTGTAGCTGTTCAACTGTTCAATTGGAAACGACAGCAGCTGCTTCTGTTCCTGCTCCTGTTGCTGCTGCTGCTGCTCCTGCTCCTGCTCCCGTTGCTGCTGCTGGTTATCGTCATCGGTCCACTTATCATGAATGTCACCAATTACCGCATTCTCGACGCTGGCAGCTTTCGATTCGGCCAGCGCCAAAAGTACAACGACAATAATAACACAAATTTGCACAAACAACCGATTTAAACATGTCAATTTCATGTTTGCCTCAACTTTAAACTGGAGTTTGCGTCTCTTTCTTTGATAATTTATTTGATATTGTTGCAATAATTTGGATTTATAAGTTCCATTTTCGGTTTGCACACACAAATTTCTTGACGCATGTTTGCAGCATTCACTTTGTCATTTGATATTAATTAATCTAGAAATATGTCGGTGTATGTAATGAAATGTCTTTAACTTTGAGCTCAAGTTGTGTACGTGCACTCAATATGTTTAATTAACGAGTTTATGCTTTTTCGCAGTAATTGAAATGCTGATATTATTTATTGTTGCATTGCCATTAAAATTGCCAACGTTTTGTGGCGCTGTCAGCACTGCAACCGAACTCTAA